ATTTATCATCTCTCACTAGTGCTCCGCCATCTTTTACTGATAGCGCAAGCAAGCTTTATTTTCAGCCATTAAAAAAGAATTCTATTTTTTTTTTTATACAACTTAGAATGGCAAAGAAGCTGACGGTCCACCTGATGTAAAGTGGTAACCGTCGCCTATAGACATGAGCAGTACCATGGACATAACAGAGTATACTGTTTTGCCCATGATACCCCCATGCATTGCCATTCCTGAGGACTCAGGTGTTATTCCTCTGTACCCAGTAAATTCACACAAACACAGCCATGCTAACACAACTGCGTCACGGTTGAAACACGAAAGGGACAGAGGTACCCAAGCAATCGACTTTTGTACAAAGTCTCCCTCTGGTGGTTTTTTCACACAAAAAAAAATACTAAATAACTAAACACTACCAATAATAACAAAAATATACTCTGCCCATCTAATGTTCCTACCATTAAAATAACGCATTAAAGCCGCGCACCGCCACGAAGTTCTCATTTCCGAATGCCCTCGTCAAGATGATATCTTGATTTCTTTTCAAAGTAACAATTTTTGTTCGTAAAAATATTCTTATTTTTTTTTTTTCAATATCCTCGTCAGTCCAGATTGTTCATTATTCATATCAGACGAGCGTCAAACGTGGGATGTTGACAAATACTTTGTCCTGAATTATGGCTCATTGTATTCAATGAACGAAAGGCTCAGTCACCGTTTGTCAGAAGTAAAAATACAATAGAGCCTACCTTATACATTTGGCAGTAGATTGATATAACAATAATGAGGAAATAAAAGAAAATCATACCTTTTCGATATAATATGGACGCTGCAATAGTATTTATAAAATTGAATAGAATGATGTAGAAGAAAGATTCTTGAGTGGTAACCTCGTACAGGCAAACTCCAGTGTAGGACGATCCCCCTGCGCCTCGTGCATGTCGAGGCCACTAGATAAAGAGACAACTTTGCATTTTGGGAATCAGTGAATGCAGCGAATCGCTGATATAATGATGATGATGATGACGATGATGATGATGATAGACGCTATAAAGGCAAAATGTATAACGTGCCAATTCGGTCGATATTAAGTTATATATACTCGTATATCATTATATTCGGTTTTGTGCCTCGAATGTATATTGAATAAATTAAACAGAGTAGTTGGTGACTTAGTCAAGTCATAAATGGCCAACGTGATTTAACTATTTTACTGTATTAAACATTTATTGTATATATCGCCGTGTGGTCCCAGCATAGAAAAGGCCACCCCTTCCTTTCTCGTGGGTGTCGTAAGATGCCACTAAGGGAGGGCGAGGGATAGACAGCAACGTTCCTTTTAAAACATCTCCAAAGCCTAACTCAGGTTGCCAATCCACCTGTCAAGCATGACAACTACTGGAATAATCGCCCAAAGAGGCTTATATTTAGCAATGGATAGTTAAAGACTGATATTATGATACTATCTATTATCAGAAATTTTATCTTGTTGTTTCGTATTTTTTCCTCTTCTATAAGTCACTACTTTGACACTAAAGAACATTTATTTATATTTTAACTCACTCCAAAGTCTGGCAACATCGTTATTATCTGTCAATTTAAAAAAAAATAACAATTATCGATATTTATAATTAATTATTTAAAAAGTGCTCTTACGTTAATCACAGAAAAATTTTATGCTCACTTTTAAACTTTATCCGAGCAGTAAGTTTAATTTATTATTCTCAGCTTCGTATACGATATAGTATATTTTATATATGTGTAGGTATGTTTGCTACTTATATATATTTAGATTTATTTATGTAAATTACTACATAAATAAATCTACATACTAAATGTATGTATATCAATTATTATTAGCATCACATTCGAGTATTCTGACACTTCCCTATGGTTGACTAGAAAAGAATGCTTTTAGCATTAAGTCCGCCATGTTCACATACATGTACTAATGAATAAATAAATAAAATAAATAAACAAGGTTGTATATAAATTTACCACTAAAAACTTTACACTTACTTTATACTTTATTTTAGAATTTATTTTAATACCTTTTTATATAAAAGTCAAAAATTTCATCGACAATTTAGTAATAATATTGCATTGCTAACATTTAACCGCTCGCCATCGTCAGGGAATTAATCCTCACACGCTTGAACCTGCACGTACAATGCGGTTCCAGAGAAATTTTCTCGTACCAACGCTCAGTTTGTCGAATGAGCTCCCTGCCGAGGTTTCCTCTAGAGACTACAGTATGGGGTTCTTCATAAAGGGTATATTAAGGTTTCTTCAGGGTCAGCAACGTGCACGTGACACCCCTAGTAATTCAGGTGTCGATAGACTACAGTAATCGTTTACTATCATACAGGCTGTATGCTTGTTTGCCACCTTTGTTGTATAAAAAAGAAATTAGTTTGCTATATATTCTCTATTGCACTTGTAAATTACATTGTTAATGCATTTATAAATGTTGTGACCAAGGGTGGACTTATCTTTGACAGAGATCTTTTCCAGGCAACCCAATACAGTTAGAAAGCATGTCGTTAGCGGACAACTAAAGTGCTACAACTATTAATATTTAGAATACGAATTACTATTAACACTAATAAATTTTAAAATAAATGAATATACTAACTACATTAGAAATTTAGTTTAATGATTTTAAGATTTGACAGTTCATTTAGAAAAATGAAAAATTAAAATTATGACTCGAGGGAAAGAAAATGTAATTTCAACTTTTTACATAATCAACTAAATATACTGTTATTCAATGTCAATATGTTCAGTTGATTATGTAAAAAAAGTCATTTAATTGTTTTTGAAATTAAACTTGACGTATAATTAGGGCAATGTCGCACTTCCGTAAGCTAAAACATGAACGCTCTTAATAAATACATTTTGCCTTTCCAGCGTCAATTTATTACAATATCTGCTAGGCGCTATTATATATTCTGTTGTTTTACATTAAATGTAAATTTCACTACTTGTTACCATGTCATGTTATGTTTGCACTTTGTCATAATTCACGTGAATGGGCAAATCACTTGCACGCATCTCAGTTTCTCACATTCTGACAAGTAATCATTAGAACTTTTGCTCCACAAAAAAAGAAACAGATCGTGTCTCTTCAAAAAAATACTGTTGCTTTTTTTATACCACTGAAGTGGTACCACAAACAAGCATACGGTCCACATAATGGCAATAAGTTGCCGTAGCCTACGAACGCCACAATACACGCGCGTTGCCGTCCCTGAAGAAACCTATTTACGCCCTTTTTGAAAAACACCATGCTGTCTTGTCTAGTCTTGTAAAAACCTATAGTACAATAAACAGGATTTTGCTATTTAAATTATTATTGTTTTTCGTATATAATACTACAACTGAGATCTTCTTTTTTGATAATCGTTTAGACTTCCAAAAAATATGATGCCCACAGCCACTTTCTACCATCGTACAGCTCGCCATCGACAGGGAGTTCATCCTCATGTCCTACACCCTCAATAGTCGCGTACTGCGCGGTTTCAGAGATGTTTCCTCCCACGAACACTCAGGTTGTGGAATGCGTTCCCTGCCGAGGTTTTCCCAAAAGGGGTGCATGAGAGCATGGGGTTCTTCAAAAGGGGGGTAAAGAGGTTTCTTCAGGATCGGCAACGCACGCGTAATACCTCTGGTATTGCAGGTGTTAATAGGCTACGGTAACCATTTACCATCAGATGGGCCGTATGCTTGTTTGCCACCTCAGTGGTATAAAAAAAAGACGGATTTCAATTAGGATTTTTTTTTAATTTTTTTTTTATTGCAATGATATTACTTCATTATTATATTGCTAATACTTAATAAATTTTCATAATTCTTTTTGCAAACGATAGGCTAAATATAAAATAATGCATGCCAAGCGTGACAATTACTGGCAAAGCTCCCCAAGTGGGAGGCCTATGTTCAACAGTGGACAGTTAACGACTGCATTGTGGTCGTCGTCATCATAGTGACAGCGCGCTCAGCTGTTAAGTTAATATGGGAGATTCAAAATGTTTTAACCTTTTAGAATTTCTCTCTCTCTAATAAATTTGCCTTTAAAAAGAGTGTTCAGTCTCAAATTTAATTCTCTGAATCAAAACAAGTATTCAAGTTTTTTTTTTACAACACAGGGGGCAAACGAGCATGCGGCTCACCTGATGGTAAGTGACTACCGCCGCCCATGATCACCCACAACACCAGCGGCATTGCAGGTGTGCTGCCGGCCTTTTAAAAAGGAATATAGTAGGCAGTAATTCATCATATGTAACTATATATACAAATATGTATATATTTATATGTATGTATTAATATATAAATATAGAAATTACCATCTTATACTAAATTATATTTTTTTTTAAATCGCCATCGTGTATCTCTGCACATCGTAAAGGTTGACTGGTAGAGAATGCCTACAGCATTAAGCCCGCCTTTTGCACCACATTTTATTGGTAAATAAAGTTTAAATAAATAAATAAATATATTTTTTATTCACGATATTTCTGTTCTAACACTTCGTCAACATGGGTGTACTTTAATTTTACGTACCATTTACAATTTGACCTCAGTATTTCTGTTATTATTTAAATTATATTTTGTTTTTAGTTGACTTCAGAAAAAGGATGACATTCTCTGTTAATAATAAACCGAATTGGAAAGTTACTTTTTTTTCTGAAAAGGTATAATTACCGATAGAAATTTTATCAAAATCAGTTTAGTAGTTTAGTTTTAAAACCAAAATAGACAATTTTGCTATAATAATAGTCTATTTATTTGTGGAACACAATCTATTTTGTTGTGTGTAATGAAACGCGAATGAGCAAAAGTAATAGATATATATCTCTCTCGCCCCTTTTTTTAGCAAGCGCCGGTCATGCCGGACACGCTCTGTAAGTCTTTATAAAATACATACATTATAGATATACTCATGTTGTTTTTACTTCAATAACCTGCTCCCAACATCATATTTTTTTATTTATTTTCTATACCTGTATTAGCGTGCAGGCTCTCGAAGAGCACTCCAAATTTACAGTACAAGATGGACCCACCAGGGGTCTCAATAGCGTCGCCTCCAGATGGAAGTAGCAGTCAATAGCCTCACCCACCTGTGAAGACAAAACATTTTTTTATATAACTCAGAATTAGAAACAAGCTGACGGCCTACTTAATGGAAAATAGTCACTTATAGACATTTTTATTTTATACAACTTAGAATGGCAAAGAAGCTGATGGCCCACCTGATATAAAGTGGTAACCGTCGCCTATAGACATGAGCAGTACCATGAACATAACAGAATAATCTGTTTCGCCCATGATACTCCCCATGTGTTGCCATTCCTGAGGACTCAGGTGTTATTCCTCTGTACCCAGTAAATTCACGCCATATTCCACCCTTCAAACCGAAACACAGCCATGCAAACACGGCTGCTTCACGGTTGAAACACGAATGGAACAGAGGTACCCAAGCAATCGACTTTTGTACAAAGTCTCCCTCTGGTAAACATGAACAGTACCATGGACGTAACAGGGTATACTGTGATCATATATTGTTAGGGTACAAACATTAGAAGGACATCATCATCATCATATCCGCCTTTAACTGTCCACTGCTGAACATAATCCTCCTCCTTAAGGGGGTTGCCAGTGGTTGCCACACTTGACAGACGGATTAGCAACCGCACAACCGTAATTAGATGAGAACAGTTAATTTCTTTTCGTATTTTTTTTTATACTACTTAGAATAGCAAACTAACTGACGGCCCACCTGATGGCAAGTGGTAACCGTCGCCTATAGACATGAGCAATTCCATGGATATAACAGAGTATACTGTTTCGCCCATGATACCTCCCATGCGTTGCCATTCCTGAGGACTCAAGTGTTATTCCTCTGTACCCAGTAAATTCACGCCATATCCCACCCTTCAAACCGATATTCTTATTACTATATGCTGAATAACTAAATATAACGGTATTTAACGCATGAAAGTTAAGTTCAATTAACAAGTTTTTATTATTGTAATCAGTTTACGGAAGTCATTATACAGTTAAATATTATAACATTATGTTAATTATTTTTATGGTATTCACATTTGTAGCGTGATATGATGTCGTGTAAATGTAAAATTATGTCCCATTTACACATATGAATAGATTTTACTTGAATATAAAGTGATAATATTAAAGATTGTGTCCCACAAAAAAAAAAACAGTTATTTTGAGCTAAAAATTAAACTACGAAATCGATTTTGATAGAATTTCTATGAACCAAAACTGTAAGTATATTCTTTCAGATAAATAAAAGAGCTTTCTATATCGGTTTTGGACTGACAGAGTTACGAGGTAACAAACATCCAAAAAAGAAAAACAGCCATATTGAGAATCTCATTCTTTTGGAAGTCAATTGAAAAGTATGAAGATAAATCTGGATGGCTATAAAGGCAAAGAATAAATGTGCATGGCAAGATGGATGATAAGGGCAGAGGAAGACTTAAAAAGACATGGATGGACTGTGTGAAATATGATATGGCCAGAATGGGAGCGAATGCGGAATTGATTATGACTGTAGATGGATGGGAGAGGAAAACACAAAACATATATTTTCTTTAATGGATGAAAGTGGAATGGTGATCCCGCCTGCACTATCGGTATACATTGGCGAAGCACCAATAAGTGAGAGTAAATGAAGACGAAAATAGGTCATTTGCTTTATCATGACGAATTACACGAGAATAAACCACGGTGATTTTAAAAGATACTCTTCATTCATATCACATGTCCATATCGAAAAAGATGGTTACTTCTTAACCACATAACAGATGTTGATACTTGTTCCATCAAATGTAAATGTCTGTGAGAACGGATAGATGTTTGTTGCTCTTTCACGCAAAAACTTCTAAACGGACTTGAATGAAATTTAGTACATGAATAAGTAACAATTTGAATTACAATATATATTGATTAACGCGTGCGAAACCACGGGATACAGCTAGTGTTATATATTGCAGATATTTTTACGGAAAGTTTGTATATACAGTGCCTACACATACAAACCCGGAGCGAATCGCTAGTAAATAAATAAACACTTATTATACAAAGAAGTAAGGAGTTTCCCGTTCGATTTATACGTCCAAATACTTATCGTGAAAGGGTGACTTTCAGAAAGATTCGTGTTTCCTTTATTACGTGGCGAGTTGCCAAATAAAAGAGAGCATTGGTCGGACGATATTCGGCTCAGACAATATGAGTACTTTTTAACTTTGGTACTAGCCATCCGCGATTTGTCTACTTGATCGGCGCATATTGATTGACTAGGAAACGTGGCTTTACAAAAAAAGCATATTGAACATATTGTTTCATGGGTATTGCACCTATCGCACGCACACACGGACACTTGCACTCACGCACGCACGAATACACACACGCACGCACACGCACACGCACGCACACGCACACACGCGCACACGCATGCATACACAGGACGAAATATTTCGTAAATACCGCACATTGTAAATATTTTTATCTAGAACGTGAAATCTCGCATTTATATATAAATTCAGGTTGCGCTCCTTTGCTCTACAAAGAAAAACGGTAATTTCAATCATCATAGAATTTGTAAAAATGAGTTCAAAATTAGCAACAAAATCGCGTAATATTATTTTTTTATTTTTTCAACCCACAACACAATACACAGATACAAGATACACAAGTTGCAAAGCTTGATTTTTTTATACCACTGAGGTGGCAAACGAGCATACGGCCCACCTGATGGTAAGTGGTTAACATAGCCAACGTATATACGTAATGATATAAGTACATACAGCATGATAAGAAATATTAACAAGAATTTTGCATTTCGACATTACTATAAGTAAATATTATTCAATAGTTACATATTATTTTATGAAACACTATATTACTGGTAAACAATTGATTTCTCTGATGTTGCGGGTGTCTATGGTCGGTAACAATCACTTTTTTTTACAACACAGGGGGCAAACGAGCATGCGACTCACCGGATGGTAAGTGACTACCGCCGCCCATGATCACCCACAACACCAGCGGCATTGCAGGTGTGCTGCCGGCCTTTTAAAAAGGTAACAACCACTTACGAATATGTGAGCCGCATGCTCCTTTGTCCAATTATATTTAATAATATACATACATATCTGTCACGCTTGTCCCCCATTAGGGTAGGCAGAAACAATAGAACGCCAAATGCTTCGTTTCAAACAGATCTTTTTCGCTTCCTCTACATTCATAAATTTATTAAACACACTCACCGGTTATGGGTACTTTTAATTTAGCCCTTCTTCATTACGTCGCCTATTTGGTCAGCATACGTCTGTCTAGGGCGGTCCCTACTGTCCTTTTAATTATATGTAATAAAACAAAATTGAAAAAAGAAATAAACATCGAAAAAAAAGGTCTCTGCCTTCGTTTTTTGAAATTGCTTATAAAAATATAATAAGTGTATATCTTATTCATCCCGTAGTGTTTAAAGAACGAGAAAGATATATATTAAATTTCATTACAAATCCTTGGACTTCAAAGGTAACAAGCAAACATACATATATATAGATACTATCGTATTTTTATAGTTAACGCAAACGAAGTTTGTCTCGTCTGTCCAAGCTTTTAAACCCAGCAAGAGACAATCCTACGCGTGAATTTACAGGGTACAGAGGAATAACATCTGAGTCCTCAGGAATGGCAACGCATGGGGGGTATTATGAGCGTCACAGTATACTCTGTTATGTCCATGGTACTGTTCATGTCTATAGGCGACGGTTACCACTTTACATCAGGTGGGTCGTCAGCTTGTTTTCCATTCTAAGTTGTATGAAAAAAAAAACAATATTTTAGTCCGATGATAATAAAAATCCTAATATTACATTCTACGAGTACAATGTAGATAGATATATAGATACTCTTTATTGTTTCCTCCAAAATATTACAATAGTAAACTTATTATAAATATAAATAATTACAAGACATAATCACAATGAGAAAACAATGGGCGGCCTTATCGCTAAGAGCGATCTCTACCAGGCAACCTTTGGATGGAGAGGAGTAATTATGTGTTGTTTAAATATACAGCTTTACATGAACCCTTATTCATGAGCGCGGTTCATAATTAAAAGCCGATATAAGTAACTACTATATACAATATATATTATTTAACAATGCTGAGGTAGGAATGAAAGGAATTGTTAGTAATGTGGCTAGCAATAGGACAGCTAGCAATATATTCTGCTAAGTCGATTTCCACTGGAAACCATCATATTGAATTCCAGTTATATTCATGACGATGGGCTAACTGACCTGTCTTTTCATTCTCACCTATCATCCCTCACTGGTTAACGCAGGTGGGGTTGCCATTCCATTATTATCCGTTACAAAAAAAGCTAAGGTATCGACGCTTTGGACATTTTTTTTTCTATAATTATGGTAATGTATTTACTTTTTGTGAAAATGTTTATTGATCAAAATTTTTTTTTTATTTTGCTAATACAAATATGTTCTAACTTATAAAAATGTAATCTTAATTTACATATTCGTCTAAACGTTGCCTTAAATTATACAAGTACTTATAGTTACCAATGTTGCCATTCTAAAATTTCTCTTGTGCCAAGTTAGAATATTAATTCTAAGATATTATTTGGTAAGAAAATTCAGTAACAATATTTATGCGTAAACACGCACTGTATAATGGATTAGCCTCATTTATTTTGCTATCACGTTAGAGTCGTTAAAGTCATGTGACAAATAATATTATACAAGTACTAAGAATTGTTTAATAAATCTAACATAATATTCAACGTTTCGGTCTATTGCTCTAAATATACGGACGACTGTTGAATATGATATTTTATTCCCAGAATTTGAAACATATACTTACGTAATTTTATTTTATAGGTACTCTTAATGTTTTCTTAATTATTTTTTACTATATTTTATTTTGATTAATATAGTTATTTAAATTAAATTAATATTATTAAGCCAAGCTGGCAATCGTCGTCATGAGAGATAGACATGAGTACTAGTATAGTATTATATTATCTGTAACATGAGTAAAGCTATGAACAATAATATAATATACTATACG